GGGGGGGTTATATTAAAGAGGGAAAGGGCCTCTGCTGTAGATTTATTTTATGGCAAATCAGGTGCAAAATGCAAGTCAGCGCTGGGACACATGTCACTGGGCACAAACTGCGTCTGCTCTCTGCTGATGGAAGGCAAAGTAGGCAGACCTCTGGGCTCACAGAGCTATCCGCAGTGCCCAGGCATGGAGAAAATCAGCAGGCTCCCTGCTCCAAGCAGCCTTTCTGCTATGCTAAACCGTTGCAGCTGACAATTATTAGGTAGCAGAATCATGAATGCAAAAAGTAGAAGCTATTCCCACATTGATTCAAAGTGGAACAATGTGCTCTGGCATCACAACTGACAAAATAGTTTAATATACTGCAAGAAAATCAAAGTAAACCAGCACACAAGCTACAAACTGCTTTACGGCTACCAACAGAAAGATGAGGTTTCTCTATGCTGCAGCCCTGAGGTGTGCTGTAGGGTAGGTAAAGAAAGGGACAGGCCAAGATCTACGGTTTGTAGACCGAGCTCCTGAGGTGTACAATTTAGCAAAGCGTAGTGTAAGGTAGGGCTGCAACAACTAATCGCCATAATCGATTATAATCGATTATTGAAAAAGTTGTCAACTTTTTCAATAATCGATTAATCGGCTTCAACATTTTTAAAGCGTTCCAGTTTAATAAAAAAAAATGTTTTTGCTGGAGTGGGGCTGCCAGTAGGTTAGCTGCGTTTTGGACGCGTTTGGCGTTTCCGGACAAAATGTGACATGCAGTATTTTTCTGTCGTAACCTGAACGGACTGCGCACGTGAGAACTGTAGCCCATAAAACACATAGGGATACATTGGGATGCATTTTTAGTGCAGGAGCGTACGGATCAGGTCAGCACAGAAAACGGACGTCGTGTGAACAGGCCCCAAAGCATCATGTCCTACATGAACCACGTGAATAGTTTCCACCACATCTGTGTCAACAGCTGCGCACAAGTATAGCGAGAGGATCTGAAGCAAAACAGACAGAGGGCTTCTCCAGCTCTGAGCATAGCCCATGGACTTCAGCCACTCGTGTGCACTGACCATTAAAGGTGCCCATACACCTTGCCATTAGCATCGTTCAAAAAACAAACGAGATCAGGTTTTTGTACGATAATCGACCTGTTGATGGGAAGTGAACGATCATAACTGTACAACTGGCTGAATTTCCTCAAACGGGCAGGCTGGAAAACTTTGATTAGTAGGAGGAGAGAAAAAAAATGAATGGATTAGTGGCGTTTTCGTACGAAAAAAAAGCAACATGAACACTGCACATGCGCAAACGAAAATCTGTTCTGTCATTTGACAAAATTTGGCCAGTTAGTATTGCTAATAAACGATAATTGTAATCTACATTGGTCTATGCATGAAAGGGTATTCTAGCGGAAATTGAACAGGAGATCGATGACAGGACGAAATAAATCAAACGATAATTGTAAGGTGTATGGCCAGATAGACAATCACCCAACTTTTAAGCTTCATTCACAACAATATTTTCGATGCGTTCAGGGAAAGTGATTGATTCCTAACTGCGTGTAATCGAATCCCATACAATTACATGTGGTGTGCCAGTGTTCTAGTGCAGTTTTTTTAAATGCAGCGGCTGTCATACGATCATTGACTCGAAAGGGAGACAGCTGCTGCTTGTGTGCCGCTTAAGGATTCCTGACGCAGGAATCCCTTATCGCCCTAAAATTAACACATCAATATGCTTCAAATATTTAGGTAAAAGACAAAGAAGGCAGCCATTGCTAACCTCCTCTGAAAATGCTGGTTGTCTGCCTGTCATGATATCACTAAAGCTGGCCATACACCTATAAATAATTATCTGCATATTTTCTATGGTCACATGGAGAAAGTGCAACAAATTCCTCCATCTACGCTAAACTGTGTGGATGAAGGAATCTCCTGCTGGGCCGAGCTTCAATATCTTGCTAGTCGGCCCCGCTGGCTCTCAAAATACCTGAACAATCTGATTGGAGATCTTAAGGAGAATCTTAAAAGGAGAACTATGGGGTCAGGGCTTTTGCCCATAGTTCTCCTTTTAGACACAAAGACTAGCGTCCTCCAGTCACCATAAGCTCAGTATACCGCGAGCTACAGCTCGCGGTATACCGAGACGCTGCAGCGGATCCCGACATCGATGTCGAGATCTGCCCAGGTGCGTGAGTGACAGCTGGCTCTGCCTATCTAGAGGCAGAGCCAGCTGTACCCGCCCCCTCCGTTCCGCCAGTCAGCGCTGGTGGATGGGAGCGGGGAGAGGGGAATCCAGCCCCTCCCCCTGTCACGGCAGAGAGCCGTGACAGGATCGAGAGGTGAGCGAACCCAGAATGTGTTCGCTCACCTCCCAATCTACTGAGCCGACCTGTGACAGTCTCATTGTCACAGGTCGGCTAGAACTATGAGGTGAGTGAAAAGCACGCACCTCATAGTTCTCCTTTAAGGCAATGCAGAATGTTAATGAGACCTTTCCCAGCGTAACAATCGGGGAAAATTGATAAACCTACCAGTATGAATAGGTACTGTGGGAGAAAACCAGAGGCCGCCAAGAGAAACATGAGGGGACGAGACAAACCCAACACAGATATTGGAGGGTATACAGGGGGGAAGCAGACAAAATACCCCAGTGCTGCAAGTCTATAGGGCCACTTCCTATGTACTGTACAGGTGAATGATCCTGTATAATACATAAGATGCTCCATCAGTCCTCCTCCTATGTTCAAAATTGTAGAAATGTCACCAGCACGCCAGTCCTTTTAAGATAGCAAAAGCTTCATTTATTGAAGTTTTTTGTCATATGACCAAACAGTTTGGTCATATGACAAAAAACTTCAATAAATGAAGCTTTTGCCATCTTAAAAAGGATTGGTGTGCTGGTGACATTTCTACAATTTTGCTGACATTCGCGGCGCCATCCGCGGTCACTGCGAGCCCCCCCAATACAAGAGACATATCGGTAAGGAGTGCGACAAGGAGAGTACTCCTCCTCCTATGTTCAGACACAGGAACATCACACAGGATACTGCAGTGACACGACAGAAGAATCTCTATTTATTATGTACCCGTGTCATAGGAAAAGCAGGGGCAAAGCTGATTGGATGGGACAACAACTTGTATAGAAATGAGGGCAAGCCGATGACCCTCCATGAGGCGCACTGTGCCTCCCCCCCAATATACACCATGAGGTACCCTGTAACGATTACAGTGTGTATATTGAGCGCACTCTGATAAGTGGACACTGCAGGAGAAGAGAAGAGTAATCAAAGAAAGACACATGAACGCCACAGCCTGGCACAATAAGTGAAGTTCTGGCAATGGAATGTTTCCTCTTTTTCGTGGCATGAAAAAGAAACACGTCCTCAAAACGCGTTGCCTTTAGTGCCCATAGTTCCTCTTTTCTTATAATTAACTTTTATAAAACAAGCATCACTGGGACGGCCACGTATCCCCTTTGTGATTTTCTCTGTCTTAGCCGCCACCTAAGCTCTTTTTGTATATGCTGTGACCCCACTGTGGGGAAATGTGACTTGATTATATGCATGTGTACGCCTTATTTTCATATACCTTAATAAATAATTTTTTTTTTTTAAAAGCATCACTGGCATTTTTATATGCTATTCACCGCTCGTGTCTCCCTTCTTACGGTACAGCGGCCGCTTCTCTGCCACTGGCCTCCAGCTTTCATTTTTTCCCCTATTGTCACAGAATACTCCTGATGCCCAGCCATCCCATCCTCCCGTGCCCCCTCCTCAACACACTCTCCAGCTGATGCAGCCGATACTGTCCCAACTCATGTTTGTTTGGTTAATACCGGCTTCTTCACAACTGCCGATCAATCAAGCCTTCAATCTCGGCTCTCTCAAACGGATTCTTTAAATTTTTTTCCCCTTCAAACCCGGATTTCAGTTACTCTTCAAAGACACCCCTGCACCGGATCCAGCTGCCGTTCCTCCATCATCCAGAACATCAGATGAACTTACCACCGGCGGCTTCATCCTTACACTAAATGGACTTTTCCTTGTACACCCCCATGTGAGTGCAATTCCAGCCTCATGTCATTTCTCATGTTTTATTCATGTCACCCATGTTGCTCATTGTTGGAGATACACATTTGACATCAATTACCCACCAGGAAGCGGTCTCCAAATAGAGAAAACTTTTGACCACAGACTGACATTTGGGGTTGCATGTTTTCCTTAATTGAACATTTGAGCGAGTGCAACATTGTTAATTTTAAACATTCCATTGCCAGTTCACTTAACACCATGAGGGGCAGAGTGCCTCCCTTCCCGGACGCACCATAAGGGGCAGAGTGCCTCCCCTCCCAGACGCACTATAAGGGGCAGAGTGCATCCCCTCCCGGACTAGGGTTGCCACCTTTTCTTCGAGCGAAACCCGAACACTCCATTGACGTGCAGACATTTTTTGGGGAGAATGAGCCGTGGCTTATTCATATGTAAGAAGCGCCACCCGTTTATATGGAAATATCACAGTTGAGACTATTTTCAGTGTGGGGGCGGGCAGTAGCCCCTATCTTAATTTTGGTTGCCCCTGTCTGCCTGACATCTTGTGTCCGGGTTTCTGCAACCATGAAACCCGGACACAGCATTCAAAACCCGAACTGTCCGGGTAAATCCTGGACAGGTGGCAACCCTATCCCAGACGCACCATGAGGGTCAGAGTGCATCCCGGACACACCATGAGGGTCAGAGTGCCTCCCGGACGCACCATGAGGGTCAGAGTGCCTCCCCTCCCTGACGCACCATGAGGGTCAGAGTGCCTCCCCTCCCCCGAATATAGCATTAGGTACACCGCAATATGAAGATACAAAGACCAGCATGCTCCGCACTATATCTATCAGGGTGATCTATAGTGGATCACCACGATGACAGTAGCAGGCTGTGTGCTGGACTTTCATTCCCACCGTCACCATTCACCTGACTTCCCTCACCGGGGAGATCCCAGCCGGCAGGAAACCCCTTCCCTCCCGTGCACGGCAGCTCACGTTTCCGCTCCCACAATGCTTTGCGAGGCGTGCTTAGCCTGAGCTGACCCAGCCGTTTTTACACCGCGATAATCCCACCCGCACACCTTACCGAACCTGAGGGCTCGTCTGGAGTCTTCCACCCGTAATTCACTAACCCGCTTCCACCCTTCTCCGCTGCCTCCGCCTCTTCTTTATTAATTTTTTTCCCTTCAGAGCGTCCCTCCTAGACTAGTTCGACCGTCTTTTCTATTGGCAGAGACCGTCCTGACCTCCTTTTACCATAGGTACAGGTCGCCGCCAATCAAAGCAGTCCCGCGTCTTTCATTGGTAGACGCATGCGTCCGTCTAAGACGCATCCTATGAACCCCACCCAATCAAAGACGGTTATGTAGCCAGGTCTTAAGTGCAGATTGTAGCCATGCGGCGGCGGCGGAGGATGATAGGGTTACCTGGGTGATTGTCAGTCATGTGGAACACTGCATCTCCTCAATGTCCGATGATAGTCCCGTTCCTGGACTCATTTCTAGTACACAACGGCCATGTGTGTTTACTGGGATTCTAGATGACCTATTAGACCGACATTGGTCACCAGAACAAATGGGCAGGGTGAGGTCCAAGCTGTCCTCCATTGGGTCCTTCGATCCCCGCTGCTCTCCCTGCTTGTATTGGCGGAGGGGGAACAGTGACAATCCACACACCAGCGGGTGGGGAGGAGAGAGCAGAGTCAGAATGCCGAGTGAAGGATCAGCAAATATGTGTAGTCCATAGACGACAACGCTTTAAAAGCCCCTACAGGTCATCAGTTTAGAGATACGTGTAAATATTGGCCCTAGAATTATTGCTCTCACTCTGGCGTGCGTGGCAATACCCAACATGTGTAGCATGATCGTCATTTTCATGCGTAGGTGCACCAACATACTGCAGACGTCACTGGTCATTAAGGGGTTAAATTACACATTTCAGGCCTGAAGATTACCTAACAAATTATATATTTTCTGAAAGCAGAGACCATGTAGAATAAAATGGTGGCCATTGCCTTTTTTATGTCATACAATACAAGTGCAACTAGAAAAAAAAAATATATATATATAGTCTATATTTTCAGTAAAAAATACCCTTTAACCCCTTCGTGACTGACGACGTACAGTGTACGTCGCCAGCATCGGGGATTTACACAACACAATATAATGGCAGTTGTTTTGGTAAAATATAAAAAGATGAGACTATGTCAAGTAAATAATTACCAAATATGTAAAGCCTAAAAATTGTGTGTGCCCCTAAATAGTAAAAAAAAGTCAGTACCCAAAATTGTCCATAGGCGACACTGGGGCCCATTCACACCATCCAGGGTATTTATTTCACTTAATCAAACCCTCCTTGCATTCTGGGGTGGGAGGAGGTGTGGTGGTGGCATTCATTTCAATGGCACCATAAACACGCCTCCTGCCCACTGTGCGGTTGTCTGCACCGGAATGCATGGTACCACAATGCCCTGCAATTTCAGTGCGGTACTATGCATTTTCGTGGGCAGGAGGAGATCGCACTGTGGGCACGAGGTGTATTTGCCGTGCCGTTTAAAAGAATGGCACCACCACGACCCCTCCTGCCCCAGAACATAATGAGGGTTTGCATTAATGCCACGGGACTGTGAGATGAACCTACTGGATGGTTTGAACGGTCCCTTACAGAACATCAAGTTAGAGTTAACAGTGAATGATGACCCCGGAAATATTGCTCTCACTCCAGTGTGCAGCGATACCTAATATGTGTCATCTATGTATTTGTATGCAAACAAACTG